TTAAATAAAGGTGAAATAAAAAAATAAAATAAAAATTTAAGACATAGATTCAACCACAAAGACCAGGAAGGTTTTCCAATGCCTTGCAAAGAAGGGCACCTATTGGTAGATGGGTCAAAATAGAAAAAAGCAGACATTGAATATCCCTTTGAGCATGGTGAAGTTATTAATTACACTTTGGATGGTGTATCAATACACCCAGTCGCTACAAAGATACAGGCATCCTTCCTAACTCAGTTGCCAGAGAGGAAGGAAACCGCTCAGGGATTTCACCATGAGGCCAATGGTTACTTTAAAACAGTTACAGAGTTTAATGGCTGTGGTAGGAGAAAACTGAGGATGGATCAACAACATTGTAGTTACTCCACATTACTAACTTAATTGACAGAGTGAAAAGAAGGAAGCCTGTACAGAATAAAAAATATTCCAAAACATGCATCCTGTTTGCAACAAGGCACTAAAGTAATACTACAAAAATGTGGCAAAGCAGTTCACTTTTTGTCCTGAATACAAAGCATTATGTTTGGGGCAAATCCAATACAACCCATTGTTGAGTACCACTCTCCATATTATCAAGCATAGTGGTGGCTGCATCATGTTATTAGTATGTTTCTAATCGTTAAGGACTGGGGAGTTTTTCAGCATAAAAAAGAAACGGAATGTAGCTAAGCACAGGCAAAATCCTTGAGGAAAACCTGGTTCAGTCTGATTTCCACCAGACACTGGGAGATTAATTCACCTTTCAGCAGGACAATAACCAAAAACATAAGGCCAAGTTGCTTACCAAGAAGACAGGGTGTCACGCCCTGGCTCTGGGGACTCTAGTATGTTGAGCCAGGGTGTGAGTTTTCATTTTGTTTTTCGTTTCTAGTTGTTGTATTTCTATGTTGGCCAGAATGATTCTCAATCAGAGGCAACGAGTGTCAGCTGTTGCTGGTTGTCTCTGATTGGGAACCATATTTAGACAGCCTGTTTTCTCACAGTGGTTGTGGGATCTTGTTCCAGTGTGGTTTGTGTTAGACCGAGGACGTCACGTTATCGTTTGTTGTTTTGTTCGTGTTATCATCATTATTTAATAAATATGTTCACTTTTCACGCTGCGCCTTGGTCCTCTGTACCCGACGATCGTGACAGAAGATCCCACCAACACTGGACCAAGCAGCGTGTCCAGGAGCCAGCGCCAGAGGTATCACATAGGGACATCAACCTCGGCTGGGCCTGGCCCACGGGGAGGAGAGACCCCCAGAACGTTTTTAGGGGGGGGGGGCTCACGCCGTGGACGACGGGGCAGCAGGAGGCCGCTATAGAGCGGTCCAGCGGGGTTGCAGAGGAGGCCGCCAGGTTAAGGGGGCCACTGGTCACAGAGGAGAGGGAAAGTGTAGAGGCACGGCGAGAGGTACTGGGGTGTGTTACCAGTCCGGTCCGGCCTGTTCCTGTTCCTCGCATCGAGCCTGTGGCGCGCGTTGTCAGCCCGGCCCGGTCTGTTCCTGCTCCAAGCACCAAGCCTATGGTGCGCGTCGTCAGCCCGGCCCGGCCTGTTCCTGCTCCACGCACCAAGCCTATGGTGCGCATCGTCAGCCCGGCCCGGCCTGTTCCTGCTCCACGCACCAAGCCAATGGTGCGCATCGTCAGCCCGGTTCGGCCTGTTCCTGCCCCCCACACCAAGCCAGTGGTGTGCGTCGTCAGTCCGGCACAGCCCGTACCTGTTCCACCTGTGCCAGGTCCGGCACCGGTCAGCTGCTCCACGTCAGAGATAGAGCAATCCGCTCCACCGGTGTTCAGTCCAGCTTCGGCCAGCAGGGTCAGACCGGACCAGGGGTACTTTGGGGGGTTGGAGTGGGAATCATGTTCGGAGCCGGATCCGCCGCCAAGGCGGAGTGCACACCCGGTCCCTCCCCTGTGGTGTTTGGTTGGCGCGGCCGGAGTCCGCGCCTTTGGGGGGGGGGGTACTGTCACGCCCTGGCTCTGGGGACTCTAGTATGTTGAGCCAGGGTGTGAGTTTTCATTTTGTTTTTCGTTTCTAGTTGTTGTATTTCTATGTTGGCCAGAATGGTTCTCAATCAGAGGCAACGAGTGTCAGCTGTTGCTGGTTGTCTCTGATTGGGAACCATATTTAGACAGCCTGTTTTCCCACAGTGGTTGTGGGATCTTGTTCCAGTGTGGTTTGTGTTAGACCGAGGACGTCACGTTATCGTTTGTTGTTTTGTTCGTGTTATCATCATTATTTAATAAATATGTTCACTTTTCACGCTGCGCCTTGGTCCTCTGTACCCGACGATCGTGACACAGGGAATGTTCCTGAGTGGCCAAGTTACAGTTTTGACCTAAATCTGCTTGAAAATCTATGGCCAGACCTTAAAATGGTTGTCTAGCAATGATCAACAACCAATTTGACAGAGCTTGAAGAATTCTGAAAATAATAATGTTGTACAATTCAGGTGTGGAAAGCGCTTAGCGACTTACCCAGAAAGACTCACAGCTGAAATTGCTGCCAAAGGTGCTTCTGCAAAGTATTGACTCAGGGGTATGAATACTTATGTAAATTAGATATTTCTGTATTTCATTTTCAATACATTTGCCAAAATGTCTAAAAACATGTTTTCATTTTGTCATTATGGGCTATTGTGTGAAGATGGGTGAGATTTTTATTTATTTAATCCATTTTGAATTCATGCTGTAACACAACAAAATGTGGAATAAGTCAAGGGGTATGAATTATTTCTGAAGGCACTGTATCTGTACTCTTCTAGGTCTATTTGCCTCCCATATTTATTTTTGCACGCTCTGCTCAGCACAAAGAGTTGTGCAACATCTTCAGCTGCATTTGGCTCTTGATTAATGACTCAGGATATGTGAATGAAAATACGAAAACACTACCGAGAACTGCGGCAAGTGTTCTGAACTCGGGCCCACAGTAGTGAGAGTTCAGACTCAGACTACAGGTTTTATCCCTCCCCCTCAAACCACTGTTTATCCTTATTTCCCACAAAAGCCTCATCTAGTTCCATGTTCTTTATGGTTGCCGTCACCCACCCTAGAAGAATAGAGTTGAACTCATAGTAAATGTTTATGATTGTTTCAAGATCGCATCAGCTTTCACTAGGAATCCCAGCACTTCTGCCAGGCAAAATAAGACAAGTTAATTATTTTGCTGATATTAACTATGTGTGATTGTTACTTATTAGCTTGTTAGCTTGATGGGAGCATGTGGTTAGATGATTTCAGAATGCAGTACATGTGGGTTCAAATCCAAGACGGTAGAGCTCTTAAATACAAAAACATCTAGATTCACATCTGTGTGTTGCAATGGCTTTACTTCATCCTGAGGACATACTAGGAGAAAAAGTATGGGGTCTGCGTGTTGCCAGTTATTTCTTATGTGATTTATACACACCCAAGATGCATAAAACTAATTGGATGTATTTTGGGGATAATGGATTAAAATTAATGTAACAGAAGCAATGAGTTCACTCATTTACCGTATTTTCTCCCACCAAGAAACGTTCCAACATTCAATTTTTAACAGTGGTATAAGAACTATCCAACCAACAAACAACTCAACACCATTTTAACAAACATGTGGACACGTAAGATCACCCAGGTGAATTTTATAATATTAAAATGTCCACTTATCCAAACTGTTAGATTGCTTTAACTAATTGTTCCACATGCTTTAGCCTAAATGTGGCATGTTATTGAATGATGATTGCCTATGTGTTGTTGTAACACTCCTAATGGGAGTGTTCCTCCACAGATTGCACCTGTGGCTCTCTCTCTCAGTACGCTCTCACTGAGGCGATTATACATTGAAAGCTCATGAAATTACACATACAGGCAAAATCATAATTACAAAGATTCCAAAATAATGCAGTTAACACACATCCGGATAATACACATTCACACTTACAGTATACATCAATATACCATATATATGCATACAAGCAACTCAAACAAGCACTATACAAAACATCGAAGAACATACAGGTACTCTAAAGAACAAATGTCACTCTCCGATTGGACAAAAAAAGACAGACCACACAGAGTAGCCATTGTTCTTTAGCAGCTGCTATACAGTTTTTTTGCACTTTTATCGCACCCTGATAGCACAAAATAAACCCCCACCCAGGATAAACATTCATTTTTTACCTGTGGAATAAAAGTCCCTCTTTGTTCAGTGTGAAGACATCAGCCGTACCATGAGCTAAATAAAGACCCTCGCTAGCAGCTGAGCTGACAGTGCTACCTTTGGGAGCTAATGAGATTGATGGCAAAGGCCAGGGAATAACAGACAACCATTACATGGCCAACATCTTCAAGAGTAGAGAGGAAAATGATTAACATACTAAGAAGTTGGTAAGGTTGGCTGTCAGATAAGATGTTTTATATGGTTTGTTTTATAGATGTTTTATAATCCCTCATAGCATTTAGTCATGTAGCCTACCTCCATAAAGTGTAGTTTCTGTTTTTATTATGGATGTGCATCTTTCCCTTTCAAGACGATTTGATACATATCTAGAGACATGGGCTCCGATACAATACAGGAACGATACGTTTGAGTATGAAACTATTCGGTGCGATTTGGTTTGATTATAGAACGAATCGAAGTGATTCGGTGCGATACGATTCGATGCACTAACATTTGTTGCATAAACACATTCATTTTCCGTTCTAAATAAAAATCTGCTGCTGTTGGAGCTCATGAGCTGAGCCTCTGAGCTGGATCTGTCTGAGCTGACATCTGTGTGTGTGGTGTGTGGTTTGTGTGTAAATAATGATGTATGTCTATGGTGTATGTACTGTAGGCACCTGATCTGAGCCATAAGGGAGACTAGGCATATACCACTCCACTACCACTGTCAGATTAGGGGGGCAATGTAGCCTATGTTGTTGGTAGAGCATGGCGCTTGCAACGCCACATTTGCAGAGCACTTTATGATGTTTATAGTGTTTTCGTCATCTCTGCAGGTAACCCAGGTGTGGTTGGCTTCTACAAGACCTTCATGCAGACGCTTCACCAGACGTTGGGCCGGCGCTACCCTGTGTGGGCAGTGAGCCATGCTGGCCACTGTGTGCCTCCTGATACTATGGACATGATTGAAGGTACATAACTAATTCATATCTCTTATTGAGAGTGCTTTGTGCAGCTGGACTTTCTATGATTCCTTATTGCTGGTGTATCCACACTGATCCACTTCCACTTATCCACATCAACAGCACATCTTCTGACCACTGATGACTGATTAGCTAGCTTTGAAATGGGCAGATCCTTGTTAGCTCACTCTCCAATACTAAAGACGACACTAAGGATGGCGCAGGAGAAGAGGAATGTTAGCTGAGCTGGACGAGTTAGCCTGAGCCAAGGGGCCTCTCCCTCTCCCTCACCCTCTCCAGCCAGCACCAGCATGTGAGCCCTGTAATATTCATTCATAAAGCAGTGAGGACGTTTTTATTGTGCCTGATACGTGGGAAAGACATTACCAAGCCCTCACATGTAGTACGTTAAATCCCTTTTCTGATGGCTCATGAGATGGATGGGACGGTACAGTTTGGATCTGTCCATCTTGAGAAGGACAAATTATATCCATATTGAGGGTTTGTAAAGGACAAATAAGTGTCAGAAGGTGTAACATTCTGTCAAAGTGTAGCCCGGTAGGTAGCCTCATTTGAGATGTGCGATAATTAGCATGAGTTCTGATGATAACTTGAAGGAAGCCTTGATTTCCAGGCTTCTCTTCACATAGCTCAAAGGCCTGGAGACTACGTGACTTTGTCATGTCAATCATGTCAATCAGACAACCTATTTTGACCATATACAGTGAGGGAAAAAAGTATTTGATCCCCTGCTGATTTTGTACGTTTGCCCACTGACAAAGACATGATCAGTCTATAATTTTAATGGTAGGTTTATTTGAACAGTGAGAGACAGAATAACAAGGTGAGAACCTCCATCCCTCAGCCAGGGCATTGAAAATGGGTCGTGGATGGGTATTCCAGCATGACAATGAAAGGAGTGGCTCAAGAAGAAGCACATTAAGGTCCTGGAGTGGCCTAGCCAGTCTCGAGTTGCCAAACGTCAACCTCGAAACCTTAATGACTTGGAGAAGATCTGCAAAGATGAGTGGAACAAAATCCCTCCTGAGATGTGTGCAAACCTGGTGGCCAACTACAAGAAACATCTGACCTCTGTGATTGCCAACAAGGGTTTTGCCACCAAGTACTAAGTCATGTTTTACAGAGGGGTCAAATACTTATTTCCCTCATTAAAATGCAAATCAATTTATAACATTTTTGACATGCGTTTTTCTGGATTTTGTTGTTGTTATTCTGTCTCTCACTGTTCAAATAAACCTACCATAAAAATTATAGACTGATAATTTCTTTGTCAGTGGGCAAACGTACTAAATACTTTTTTCCCTCACTGTAGATACCAAGGTTGAATTTGCAGATGTCAGATGATTATGGTCATGACACTATTTTTAAAAATGTTGTATTATAATGCGAAATAATGATGTAATACTTAGTATTTTCCAGAGGTTTGGTAGAGTTGGTCTAGATTATATAGACATTCATGTAACAAAGTGAAGCATTGAACAGTTCCTGTTTTATTGTGAACACATGGCACACACTTGTCGAAACTTCCAACTCATAAATGATTAATGGAACACACAAGGCAAAGTCTGGAGATAGTCAATAGATACAGTAAAAATAAAATCAGACAACCCTGCCAATTCGTAGCATGTCATCCGATCATCAGAGAGAATAAATGAAAACCACTCTGTTCAGCCTGGTGTTCCAGGGGGTGACAATGAGCAGCAGCCCTATCTCAAGATGGGCAGGGGAGGACTCATATTTTACCCCAAAACCTCATCTGATCTGAACAACGGCCCTGATTAAGACCAGAGAAAGGCTCAAATTGTCTAGCAGCAAGTCCTGTGTTCATCTCAATAGTCCTTCATCAATTTGGTGAGATGCCCTTATCCAGGGAAATCTGCTCACTATGATTAGGATTAACTGTAAATACTAGTAAATAATTTTTCTGCTTGGGACTTTGATTACCAGGCTAGACCTGCACGCTCATGTGGTCATCATGCAGTATTAGTCTAGCATTACTAACTAGGTGTTCACCCTTTGGTTGGCACTTTCCATATCCACTCGACTATTACCCACATCCAACACGGAAACACAAACATGTCTGACATATCGGCTTCCTTTTCACCCCTCTTCTGCGGCTTCAATCCAAGCCTTTGGTGATTTACTACCCTGGTCAACCCCTTGAATGCTTGCCATTGATTTACAACTCGTCAAAGAGCATTCAGTTTGCTGAGGGATAGGGTGGCATCGTAGAGCAGTGGCCTCTGAAACCTCTGGGACGTCCAGGGAAAGGCCTCGCCGATACAGAGAAACCCATACAGCATTGATTGGGCCTCCTCTGACTTTCCAGTGACTTGTGCAAATTAAAGACTGGCAGTTATTATTATTAACAGCTAATGCATACTTGATGAAGTTGAAAAAAAAGTTGTACGGTTTTGGAAAAACAAACAAAGAGTTAAAAAAAAGTGCAGCATTAAAGGTTCTATTCCAAATCGTCCAGTGGTAGAAGTGTTCCTGTGGTAAGGCAAGTTTTGCTTGATGGTTTTTATGACTGTAAAAATATCTGTTAATGCAAACACAGGGAACATTCTCCCAGTGCCAACGTCAGTAATCCATTCCTGGGTCACGGGATCCTCCATGGGCCTCAGATCTCATTCATTTTGTCAGAATGAGTTTGCAACGCTACTTTTCACCAGCAACTTTCTCACTTTGATATGGCTAAATTGCACACTATTAATGTCCAGAGTACTAAAACATGCATTCAGAAAATGTAATCCCCCCCCCAAAAAAAAAAAATGCTACACCAGCCAAGGTCTAATATCACAAGAGGTTTTTATGGAGTCTCTCTGATTCCAATTATGCTCCCACCGCTATCGTCGGTCTCGACTACAACTCCATGTGATTTGTGCCATGAATATTGGTTGATTGTTTGAGCATATCTTTTGAAAATAAGTGTTGGAGACAAATGGCACAAAGCAGTAGAAATTTGCAATAATGACTGTACCACCACTTTATGACATTTTGGTCTGATGCCCAGCCTTTCAATCTGATCAAATAATTTCAAGACAACCTTCACTTTATCTTGTTTCTTGATCTCTCGTTTTTTATGCAAGGTTGACAACTGTGGGCTATCACTGTGGTACAGATGTTGAACCCAGCTTCACAAACCCTTTTGAGAAGGAAGTTTGTAAGCTGAGAGGAAGTATGCACAATGCAGTGCAGGACCGAGGCTGTTGCTAATCTCCTTCTCATCTCTTTCTCTCAAAACTATACTGAGATATGTTCATACCGTATCCTCGCCAGCTTCATTAATGGCACATTATTCAGAGGTCCTCAAGATTTGCAAGTGCAACCACACCCAATTACAGAGGAGAGAGTTTAAAAAAGAGCCTACACCTCCCATGTTGCAATCAGTAACACCACAAGTGAGCTTTCTTTTGACACATAGGAAATAAGTTACCTTTTCCCTGGAAGAAAAAATGCAGCACACATTTATTGCACATTTGTGAGAAGGCTTTAATCGCTTAACGGGCTGCCCCAGCCTCCTGTCTTTCTCTTGCCAAGAGGATCATTATGTTATGGGAATTTGTCTTTGCCATATGTTATTCTTTATTGACTCATTAATCACAATTTGCACTCATTTTGTTTTTTCCATTATACAGTAAGCATATCCCCAACCCCCACAACCTTCCCCACCCGATTCTTATGCTGTCTGCACAGAACGCCTGCTCCAAATTCCACTCTGAAAGAATAAAACATCAAGTCCCTCACCAAATATGTTAAATTCTATGGGGATAGATTTTTTAATTATTAAATAAATGTTGAATGTGTCTTTTCCCACCCGCTAAGTCCCGTCCACCATCACCATAGACACATTCTATACTATATTCTATACTTCCGTCCGGTCTTTCTTGCCCTCTCTTTCATCATCTCTCCATCTCCTTTTCTCATACCCTCTCTCTAATCCTAACATTGTCTTGGATTTGACTGCTCTGCACAGGTAGGGAATTGTTAACTGCTTCCTTCAAAGCTTTTTCTGGGGCTAGATTTACAGCATTATATGATAAAGTATCGTTAAATATCTTTCCAAAAAGATTACAGAAATTAAATCAAGATGTTTCTGGAATACTTCCTTACTTCGATTTCCCTTTGGATGTTCTTGTTTTAATTTAGTTATCAAAGGGTCCTGAGTACTACTAATGAGAGGACAGTGAACATTACCATAACATGATGTCCCTGGTCCTATGTTGGGGTGATCCATGTGCTGGTGCTGCCAAATGTAAATAAAGACTATCTTGTGTACAGAGACATTGATGAATGATGCTGGTTTCATGTCCTTGATCAGAATGATTTGGGCGATGGTGAAGTAGATGATGTCATACTGATGTAATACTGAATACTAATGATGAACCTTGATCTTTGCAGACCCATCAGTGACGGCAGCGGGGGACGTGTTTGGTCTGAACGGGCAGATAGAGCACAAGCTGGCCTTCCTTAGGGAGCACGTTCCCAGGGACACTCGCCTGGCCCTGGTGGGCCACTCCATCGGCTGCTACCTCATCCTGGAGATGATGAAGAGGGATCCTGAGCTGCAGGTGAGACCCCACTTTGATTCAAGTACTATTATAGAAGTGAAGTTGTAGGTTAACGTCTATAACATGGAGATTTGTCAAGCTTTAAGTGATCTATGAAGTTTTTTAATAGATCTCTACAACCTTCTTGACCCACATTTGACCCACTTTTAATGTTCATAAGCTAGAATTATTGCATTCATTTTTGAGAATTATGACATTAATTTACCTCCGTGATAAAGGATGTCTTTAGGCTGCCTAAATTTGTCAGCCAAATTGGTGTATATGGGCCTCTGAGCAATGATTCCCATATAGCTGCCTCTGCTTCATGGCACCCTGCTGTCCAGTGAGGGGTTAGGCTGGTCCCAGGGTGGGAGCATGGCACATTGCAAAGTGCAGTGAAAGCACTGTCTCAGCATGGGAGAGGTGCATGTTAGAGACGGCCTGTGAAAACATCCTAGGCTGAGATGGGACTCCCCATGTAACCTTCCCACTCCGCTCGTTTACGGATTGAATAACAAGAGGAGAAGAACTCGTCTTTTTTTTCTGGGGGGGGCATTCCTCTCTCGCTCAGACAAGCTCTTCATAATTGTTTTTCCCCTGCTCTTATTTCAGAGAGAATATGGCCTTTTCACAGGTTGTTTTTGTCTTGTTTCTCTACTTGTCTGTAATTCCCCCTCTCTGTGGGTCTCTTTTCTATGTTCTACGTGTTGTAGAGACCAAAATGTAGAAACAGTGGCAACTGCTCTGTCTAATCTTAATCGTGCTATCTTTAACATTTCCTCACGCAAATAGTGCTTAGTGATATGTAGGCCTTTATAGATATACAGATCTGTAATAGTCAAGGAATGAATCGTAAAGTGCTTAGTCTGAAAACATTCAGTACATAAAAATAGATAATTCCATCAGGTTCTTTTATTGGATCTCGTGTTCTCAAGTTAAAAATGTAAACAACCAGTTGGCTTTAAGTAGTGTTACCCAAATACCCAAAGACCACTTAAATAGGCTACACGTTTATGCATCAACCTTGAGCTGCGTCACTCTCCCTCTTTTTCTCTCCTTAAGCTGGCATCTCCTCCTGAGATTTGGCACAGCCCATTCTGTGGTCCAGCCGGCTCTGCCATATTCTTGTCGGCGAAGAAAGAATGAGGAGAAAAAGACTTCCTTTCCCACTGAAGATTGCAGGCTGCCAAGAAGAAAACACAAGCGATTATGTCCTGTAACGTATGATGTGTGATAATCAGAAACTCCTGTTCCTTTGGGTCTCAGGTATTTGTGTTGGAATAATGGCTTGCCTTATGGGTTGGGACACCGGTGAGGCCTAGGTAAGCGGTGGCGGGGGTTTTAGTATACTTACGGACAGAAAAGGAGTCAGAGTTCAGCTTGTAGCAGGGACCAGCCTGGGGTGAGTTAGCGCACTTCCAGAGCATAGCATCTGGCACGCTGCCTGCCCCTGAAAATTAGATTTGGGAGGAAGGGCTGATGAGAATGTCTGGGTTATGCCCTGAGTTCTCTCCAGGTGTATTATGAAGACTAGGCTTTATGTTTGGCCTGGTCTTTCTAACGTCATGTTCATACAGTACTGCAAGCTTTGCTTTGCATCTGACGCAATTTGAAGAGAAGTTGTTGTTTGTGTCTGTATGCACGTATGTGTGTTTGTATAAGGTAGCATACACTGAGTATACAACACATTATGAATACCTGCTCTTTCCATGACATAGATTGACCAGGTGAATCCAGGTGAAAGCTATGATCCCTTATTGATGTCACTTGTTAAATCCACTTCAATCAGTGTAGATGAAGGAGAGGAGGCAGGTTAAAGAAGGATTTTTAAGCCTTGAGACAATTGAGACATGGATTATGTATGTGTGCCATTCAAAGGGTGAAGACAAACCATTTAAATGCCTTTGAACAGGGTATGATAGTAGGTGCCAGGCGCACCGGTTTGTAACAAGAACTGCAACGCTGCTGGGTTTCCCATGTGTATCAATAATGGTCCACCACCCAAAGGACATCCAGCCAACTTGACACAACTGTGGGAAGCATTGGAGACAATATGGGCCAGAATCCCTGTGGAATGCTTTCGACACCTTGTAGTGTCCATGCCCCGACGAATTGAGGCTGTTCTGATGGCAAAAGGGGGGGTGCAACTCAGTATTAGGAAGGTGTTCCTAATGTTTGGTATACTCAGTGTATATTGGTTAAAGAATCTGTCTGCTCTTACTGGCAACACCATCAGGTTCTCCTTACCGGCACAGAGAACTGAGACAAACAAAAAGCTCTTTAGAAGCCAACTCACTTAACCCTATCCCTTTTCAATCTCTGTACCTGTCATTTACACACAAACACCATCTCCCGTTGACTCGACAACAGATGGCTTTCCATCTTGCTCATACAGTTAGTACGTAAGAAAGGAGTCTCTGGTGATTCTCGAGTCAGAGGAGCAGTCTAAATCATTTTCAGCTTTGGGGCTGGCAGTTCTAACTGGAATCCAATTAATGTGAAATGACAGGTTAGACCATGTTGGCTCGAGATAGCCATCAGATCATCCAATATGACTTTAAGGAAACCAGCTGCCTCAAAATATGTTTAGCGTGGCAGCTCTCTCTTCCTACCGCCTTTCACCACAAGGCTTGTTCTAGTAATGGAGAGGGTGATATCCTGACACTGGGCACAGCACAGCAGGCTACAAGGAGCCAAGTCTGTCTTATTTGAAATGGAAATCCTCACACTGTTTCCACAATGGCACTTCGGTTCAATGGAGTGTGGCTTGAGTGAGGCTTACGCTGGAGCTTTCTAGCTGCCCATCACTGAGTAAGTGCTGTGATTCACGTTAGAATGATGCCACCTGTCAGAAGACAACGATCTATGCTATACATTGACATATGTCTCCCCCGAGATCATTGTCTAAGGCCAAGACTAAGAGCACAGCTGCCAAGAGTGGTCTTAAGTGGGAGACTACGATATTGAGACGCCATCTTTGAATGGCAGGGGAAGGCTAGATTCAAACCAGCATGTTGAACGTTTATGCATTTGTTTACTGCCTGCCCCCATGTCTAATGTTTATGCTACTGTGCAAATACTACTGGGGTTTTGGTTGCCCAAGCTTCAGAAGCAGACACTGGGGTGCAGGAGCAGGGGATAGCTGGAACACTGCTGGAGTGCAGGCATGAAGAGCTGATAGCCTGAGGGGTCAGGAGAAATATGCCGCAGGAATGTAGCCTCACAACCCACTGCAACAGGGGGTGCTGGAAGCTGTGAAAACAATGGTCGCACGCAGTTCAGGGGCCATATCAGTGGACTAGAGTTTATATTTCAGTCTCTATGTTTATGTGGGCTATTAACTGCAATAGATCAATACTATGTGTTCTGTGTGAGTGTGTGCTTACAGTATGAGGATAAATTCTAAATTCTGTCTACACTAAACTGTCTTTTTAGTAGGCTACGTTGTGATTGTGATTTAGCACTGTTTGGAAAAACATGGGATATGATATGCCAAAACAGTGATTTCACTGGTAACCCCTGCTGACTTGTTTATGTTAATCTCCAGGAGCTCATTATCAGGCCAGACAGACAGAAGCAGATTGGCAGAGAAATAAAGACAGACAGAGTGATGATTGTATACAGTGGGGGAAAAAAGTATTTAGTCAGCCACCAATTGTGCAGGTTCTCCCACTTAAAAAGATGAGAGAGGCCTGTAATTTTCATCATAGGTACACGTCAACTATGACAGACAAATTGAGGAAAATAAATCCAGAAAATCACATTGTAGGATTTGTAATGAATTTATTTGCAAATTATGGTGGAAAATAAGTATTTGGTCACCTACAAACAAGCAAGATTTCTGGCTCTCACAGACCTGTAACTTCTTCTTTAAGAGGCTCCTCTGTCCTCCACTCGTTACCTGTATTAATGGCACCTGTTTGAACTTGTTATCAGTATAAAAGACACATGTCCACAACCTCAAACAGTCACACTCCAAACTCCACTATGGCCAAGACCAAAGAGCTGTCAAAGGACACCAGAAACACAATTGTAGACCTGCACCAGGCTGGGAAGACTGAATCTGCAATAGGTAAGCAGCTTGGTTTGAAGAAATCAACTGTGGGAGCAATTATTAGGAAATGGAAGACATACAAGACCACTGATAATCTCCCTCGATCTGGGGCTTCACGCAAGATCTCACCCCGTGGGGTCAAAATGATCACAAGAACGGTGAGCAAAAATCCCAGAACCACACGGGGGGACCTAGTGAATGACCTGCAGAGAGCTGGGACCAAAGTAACAAAGCCTACCATCAGTAACACACTACGCCGCCAGGGACTCAAATCCTGCAGTGCCAGACGTGTCCCCCTGCTTAAGCCAGTACATGTCCAGGCCCGTCTGAAGTTTGCTAGAGTGCATTTGGATGATCCAGAAGAGGATTGGGAGAATGTCATATGGTCAGATGAAACCAAAATATAACTTTTTGGTAAAAACTCAACTCGTCGTGTTTGGAGGACAAAGAATGCTGAGTTGCATCCAAAGAACACCATACCTACTGTGAAGCATGGGGGTGGAAACATCATGCTTTGGGGCTGTTTTTCTGCAAAGGGACCAGGACGACTGATCCGTGTAAAGGAAAGAATGAATGGGGCCATGTATCGTGAGATTTTGAGTGAAAACCTCCTTCCATCAGCAAGGGCATTGAAGATGAAATGTGGCTGGGTCTTTCAGCATGACAATGATCCCAAACACACCGCCCGGGCAACGAAGGAGGGGCTTCGTAAGAAGCATTTCAAGGTCCTGGAGTGGCCTAGCCAGTCTCCAGATCTCAACCCCATAGAAAATCTTTGGAGGGAGTTGAAAGTCCGTGTTGCCCAGCGACAGCCCCAAAACATCACTGCTCTAGAGGAGATCTGCATGGAGGAATAGGCCAAAATATCAGCAACAGTGTGTGATAACCTTGTGAAGACTTACAGAAAACGTTTGACCTGTGTCATTGCCAACAAAGGGTATATAACAAAATATTGAGAAACTTTTGTTATTGACCAAATACTTATTTTCCACCATAATTTGCAAATAAATTCATT